GAAGGAAAGAAAAGAAAAAAGAAAGCTACCTTTTAGTTGTTTAAGCTCTGCTTTATTCCTTGCATCAATATCTTGATGACTCTGCAATTCTCTTGCCAGAGACTTGTGCCTCAGAAAAAGATCATTTACTGCCAATCTTAGATTTTTAACCTCTGATTCTAGTTCACAAGTTGGCTTCTGCCTGCCAGCGCCTAATGAATATAGTCATGTACACAGGAAACTGAGGGTTAATTCCATAGAAATATATTCTAGCAGTGGATATTATCGGAAACATAATTCCATAATAATATCTTACCATTGTCTCGAAGATCTTTCAAAACCACAGGGTATAAACAATTCTTCAGATTCCACAGGTCATTAATAGCAGCTACTATATTCAGTAAGATATTCCTAGTCTTTTCAGATTGAGTTTCTTCTCTGTTGTCTGTATGTGCAAGGGAATTATTGGAAGATGAATTTTCAGTAGCACCTGTCTCGACAAGTCGGCTTAGAAATGCATCTTCTGTGGTGGATGGAGCCACACCTATAAACCAAGTCAATATAGTCATCTCAGCACCATACACAACTCTAACCATTTATTCTGTTCTTATCCCAGCATGAATGCAGCAAAAACTACCATAAATCAGAGTCAACAGTTCATCATTAAGGACCATGGACCACCACATATAATTAACAAAAGGAACAAGGCAGAAAATTCTCACCATCCATAATTGATGTATGCACGGCATTTTCTTGACTGCTAGACTCTCTTGCGCAGATGGAATGTGATTCCAAGTCAGTAATTAGCTAGCAAAAGCATGAAGAATTTCCCATCAAGCCATGTAACTAAATGACATCACATGCTAAAATATACACATGCAGTTATCTTTTCCTATTTCCTGTTTTTGGCGATGAGCAAATGGCCTATAATTAAAGATGAGAATAGAAAATATAAAATGAAGTCCAGGGCCTCACCACTTCCCAAGAACTATTGACCACCTTTAAGGTAGAATCATATGGCTGTTGTTTTTCCTTCAGTTGAAATAACTTATTCTCAAGGAAAGAATACTCAATTTTTTGAGCCTCTAACTTCTCTTGAAGCTTTTGATTTTGAAACTGCAGAACTGCCGCATCAAGCTGATTATTCCAAGAAAAGGAGAAAATCAATCAAATTGAGTTATTCAAAGAATAACGTATGAGTTGGCTACCCTCTAGCTGCATTTATATAGTCAGGGCAAACACATGCCTCTGACATATTGATTCAAACTTAAAAAGCACCTATATATGGTACTTGCGAGTTGCAACAATTCATGCTGGAAATTTTTCAAGAGATTCCCCAATCTATCATTCAAAAAACCGACCAGCTGCTTAAGAGGAAACTGGATAAAAAGCAGGCATATCTCACAAACAAATGGGACATAGAATTCTTCTGCATAAGTCAATGTCATCAATCTATAATGAGCTATGATTTGACGGTTTTTTTTTTTTTTTCTGTTTAAAAATCCACTGCCAACAACCAACAACCAACAACCAACAACGTGCTCTTAAATAATTTAATTATAACAAACCAACCAAATATACTGATTTGAGGTTCAAGTTCCATTAAGAAAAAGAAACTTCAATGGAAAAATTTTTATCCCAACAGCTAAATTTCCACACAGGTACAAAATTATGCATCTGTTTATCTCTCGCATAAAAAACTTGACAATATATGGAGCATGCTAAATCAACATACAACAAAGAATCTAACCATGATTATACTAGAGGAAATAATCTACTGCAAAAGAAACTTGGAGGAAAACATGATAAGAAATGTGTAATCAAAATATAATCAGATAATTGCAAATTTAACAAACTAAGTATATTTTCTTCGCTAAATAATTACAAATTAAGTGTGCAATCCACACTCAACCAAACAGAAAAAGATATTCACAAAAAACATGCCTATTGAAAAGGAAGTAACCAATGGATAATAAATATCCTATCGTTTCCAATCAAATCAATAGTCCAGAAAAATCAAAGAATAATAATAACACAGCACCACAGCACATACCTTCTTCTCCTCAGAAATTGGCAAGAATGGCTGTTTCTTGGCAGCAACAGCGGTGGGCGATAAGGAGCTAAAGTGGCGCCGTTTCCGGTCCGCCTCACCAGTGCTCCCCATCGAAACACTATCGCAACCCTAGACCTAACCACCAAACTTCCACTCACATTAAGGCGCACCACAACACGAGAATCCGCTAAAATTTCCAAAGAAAAAACAACCTAATTCATGAAAAACTCAGTCGTCCACACCAAACCTCGGCGATTGATTTGCAAAAACCTAATTCTTGAATTCAAATCTCAACCGCTCGGGTTTCCGATACTGCAAAACCCTAAGCTCAAGAATCCTTAATCAAGAGAGCTCTCTCAGTTAAGATTGTGGCGCACTTTCACCGGAATTTCCCAATCAGACGGCGCAATTGAAGAGATCGAGCAGGAGAAGGGAAAGAGACAGTTCGCCGTCGGGAGGAGTAACAGTCTGTAACGTGAGAGTGATGGGGAACTCGGAAATTGTGAATGTAATGCTTGAAGGGTACCTTAGGAATTGCGCGCTTCCTCGAAGAATCGATCGATCGATGGTGGCGTCACGACAATTTCACCCGAGAGACGTCTGATTGGATGAAAGTATGATTGTGATGGTTTTGACTCCGACGTAATTTTGAAGTCGAATTCTTATTGGTTGGTC